TTCAAACTCAACCAATGGCCTTGTGGTAAATCCTAGATTCATCTAAAAATGATTTGGAGACCTTAAACACAACATATGCCCTACATATGTGAGTTTACGGCCAAAGAACTCCTCCTAGGCCGTAAACTCCTAAAATTTTGTAAAATGGTAACCTAAATTCATAACAATGCTTAGAAAATTAGTTAGAATCACATGTGATTGTCCTATATAGTTCAAATTAACCATTCTTAGCCATGGGTGAGTTTACGGCCGTAAACTCATGTTTTAAATGATGTAAATTCATTCCAAGTGTTCCAAGGCATTTTAGATCATCCATTCTAGCAATCCCCATGTCCATTTGAGCCCTTAAACCATCAAAACCACACCCACATGAGTTTACGGCCGTAAACTCATGTATGTGTGTGTTCAATAGTTGTAAGTTCCTAGTGCCATTACACATCCGAAGATGTCACCCGGGTCACTCCAAATGCTCGTTTTGAGGTGTTTAACCTCATTGGAGTGTAATGTTCCATATGATTAGTGAATGTATCCCTAATTGTATATATATGGACATTATTTCATTTTACATAGGAACATCGCGAGTAATCAAACCCCGAACCAACGTCTAGCATTCAAAACCGACACGTTTCCGAGTCCGGTGAGTTCATACCCCTACCCTTTTCCACTGTTTTCACTGTTTTCAGGGGGGGAACACAAGCAAAGTACAACGGAATTCATGTACTCAAAACATGTTTTCAAATGTGTGTTTCATATTTGATATGCTTTTATAACTGATTACCACAACTGATAACCATTTGAACATGCAGATCACGTAACATATATTTGTGAAATAGGTCTTTAAACTGTTATGTTTTACATATATTTCACAAATGGCTTTCCACAATTTATCAGTTAAAAGCATGGCATTAAACATTTGAATATAATACCTGTACACTGTTTTGTCCTCGGTAACACTCCACACATATATGCGAGTGGAGGACTATCATATTATTACTAGTAAATTTGTTAATCCTATATGATTGGAGACACGTCCTCGGAGAACACTCCACCGAGATACGCGAGTGGAGGACTACACCCATAACCAGAATCTCTGGTATTTAGAGAGCGTGACTTGAGTGTATAGATCTATACGGGGCTGACTACCCCACACCTGGCTGCTAGCTACAGCAGAACCGAAATGGTTCAAGGGTGACGAAAGTCATAAGTATGTGGACGACTTATTGCCACATGTGGACTACTTATTGCCACAGGTTTTAGTCTATTGTATGGTTATGGAACTCGCAATTAGGATAACAGAGATTTACTTATAGTAATAATGAACCACATGATACATCTTTTACATCTTTCACTTACAGTAACTATTAATCAGGAAAGTACGGGACTTTCCTGGGGAAAACATGGAACATCAACATGATTACATCTTTTACATCTTTAACATCGTTTACATTAGAAATCAACATGCAGGAAAGGATGGGGCTTTCCTGGGTAACACTTACATAACTAGAAAGAGTAACAAAGTGGATAACATTACATCTTTTACAATTTGTAACATACAATAAGGAAAGTATGGGACTTTCCTGGTAACACATGATAAGTAAATAGAACAGTTTAACAAGTCAGATAACCAATTATACATTTTCACATGAGTAGACATGTTTTCAGTATACAAACTTACTTTACTTTACATTTGTGAAACGATAACCAACTTTTAAGAAAATACGGGATTTTCTTGGTGTTCATAACATTTCAGAAACAGAAAGGAAACTCGAAACATTTTCAGAAAAAAAAACCGCTTATGAACTCACTAGCTTTATGCTGATTTTCAAATCGCTTGTGTTCTCAGGTCAGCGTTAGAACATGTACTCGAAGATCCTTTTTGCTTGAAGACGGTGTACATGAAGACCCGTTTCATTTTGTTTATATATACTATGTATCACAACTGTACAAACTTCACTTTTGAAACAACTGTAAAAACTTTATTATGTAATGTAATGGTTGTTTTACTTTACTTACTATGTGCATTGGATATGATACTCAACGTGGAGTCAACCCCGGAAATGTTTTCCGCCTTCGGTTTTCGGGGTGTGACACACTCCATGTCACTATTCACCATCAGCCCTTACCTAGTCACTTCATTGTACTTTTCCCACCTTTTTCCAACCTCACAATTGGTTAAAAACTAGAAAAGTCTCCTCTCTCTTCACACTTAATTGATTCTCTCACTTTTCCACCAAGAACCACACTCCAAACTCTCTCATGTTTCTCTCTAAAATTCGAGAACTTCAAGGCGTACTCCAAGACTTTTCTACTTCATTTAGTAAGTATCATCATCTTTATTATGATTATTACACATCCTCATACTCAAAATCATAAATTGCTTACACAAACATCATCACATTCTTGTTAGATCTTCGAATCTTCAAGTGATTCTTCAAGTGTTCTTGAGTTGAACACTTCTCTTCTTTAACACTCATCTACTGAAATCACTCAAGGTGATTTCATACCCCTTTAAAATGACTACTTGCACATCTCCATACGATGTTTCTACAATTTATGGTGAGTTTTCCAAAACTGCCTATCATTTCAAACACCAATCCAGACCAGTCTGTGATTATGGACTTTTTCACCCAAGTTGGAGGTCATTAAAAATCATAATAAAAATTATGAGTAAACTAGACACATTTTGGGAACTCTCAAAATTTACGGATCTAGTTTTCGACTTCGTATGATTTTTCTATGTCTTTTCTAAAACAACATAGAAAGGTTAAATTTAGTTAACAGCATATAAATTTCATAACACTTGTATTATGTTGAGCAAAGCGTCTAATCATAAGTTCTAATTATTGAATGTGTTTCCTTGTTAGTTTATCATCATAAACTGAAACTAAGTCATTCATGATCAGATTATTCATTCATTTAGAACACGTATATTAAGCTATAATAAGCACAGTTTAATGGATTCATAACACTAACGCTTTTTCATAAAAGAGTTCTTATATATTACAAATGTTTTGGATAAACTATAATAGGTATAGTTTATGATACATCACATAACACACTCGTAAAAACAAGGGTACATTCATATAGAAAGATTTTACACTCACGCACACTACACGTAAACTTGTTAACCTAAATTGTGAGACAATCTCTTTCTGTATGTTCGAGTGCGGGATATAATTCCTGGTAGTTATAATCAGAGTCTCCTGGAGGGAGAACGTTATAGTTGTGTATAGATCTATATTGGGTTTGACACCCCACACCTTGCTTCTAGCTACAGTGGGACCTGCAGGTCTACGCGTGACAAATGTCAATTCAGTTTTGTGACGCCTGAGAAACGTCATGGTAGGTTCATTCACTTATAGTATGATTATAGCAACTCACATAGGTATATAACAATACATAAAGTTTACGGGATTTTTATAAAACCTAAATGGGTTTTATGTCGATTTAAAATCACCTTTTATGTCCATAAGTACAGACATTACTGTACACCTTCGGTTTTGGTATTTATGACCACATATCATTTGAAACCACATTTATATCTCTAAGTATGGCCAACACTTGTTATTTCTCGGTCCTGGGATTTAGGACTACATATACATAAAGTATTAACAAACATAAGAATTTACGGGAATTTCATTTAATACAAGCGCGTTTATGTCGATTTAAACACATATCATTTTCTATTAGTAAGAGAGGTTACTTATACATTTTGGTCTTCGTTATAAGACTACATTACGCAGATTTTAAAGAAAACATCGGATTTTCTGGATACATATTCTAACGGTTTTACAAGGAAAACGGTTTACTTCTCTAACGAAATCTCTTATGAACTCACTAAGCTTTGTGTTGACACTTTTTCAAAACTACTTGTATTCTTAGGAATTCAGTGAAACAGGAAATCAACAATGTTTCGAGGATAGGACGATAAATCGTCAAACAGTTCGTTTTGTATCATAATATAATTGATGTGAATCATGTAAACATATACTTTGATTTAACGTTTTCAATTATATTTGTGATGGTTGTATTTACTTTGAGCACTATTGTACTCGTTGTTGTGATAAGCACTATTGTACTCGTTGTTGTGATACTTTACATGAAGTCCTCCCCCCGGATGTTTCGGCCATCCTTGGTTTGAGGGTGTGCCAAAAATTTAGTAAATAAACAGTCATAATGACGCAATTCATATACCCAACAATATCCCCTTAGCGTCAATTGATGCGAGAATCCATCAACGCTAAGTTCGCTCAGTAGAACCTTGCAAACCTGGATGTACCATTGAATCATATCCGAAAAACACTTTTTGTCTCCCTTACTGTTTCCCTTGTATTTGTTGATCATGTGCAAAATATACTCCAGGCAACAGGTAGTGTACATATGTTTATCAGGTAAGAGGAAACAAGCCTTATGAAAGTCTACATCGTTTCGTTCTTGTACCTGAAATACCACATACCATCCTTCCTTCTATATCTTCCCAGGTTTCAACTTTTCAAAATCTTCTGGGACTTCTTTAGGGAGAATATAGGGCTTCCTTTGTAGTACAACAAAAATTTCGACATCCTTTTTGCCTACCTCTTAAACATACAAAAGTAGCATTAGTTTGAGGTTAGCAATATCGGGCTCATACTTTTGTCCATCTCTCAGCAATATATTGTAAAGCATGATCCACTTATAGGGATTGGGGCAAGATAGGTTCGCGAGAGTGGATTCGTGAACCTGACTAGAAGAACCTCTCACAACCTTGAACTTCGCATTTGGGAAGCTGTCAGTTTCGATTAGGCATGTGACCTTCACTACTATAGTCTTGCTAGAAGTCAATGTATCGTATTGTGGATTCATATGGTTGAGATAAAACGAGAACAGCAAATGACAAGCACTGCGATCAATGGATGGAATATTTGGTACTTTCACAAATGAGTGAAACTTGAAGGGTTTAGAGTTATTGGCAGGTCAAACTGCGAATATCGACATAGCATATCCACAACTTCATTATTAATTCACTTCATATTCCACTCTGGAAATAAAAGCTTTCCGTTATCCAGTGTCACCTGAGCTTCGCATTCTATTTTCTCTTTCGCTTCAGCCTTGTGGATTCTTCTTTGATGCTCATCCATTTCAGCTTCACATACCTCTCTTATTTGGAGTTCATTATCAACAGACTCTTCATCTTCGTTGTTGTCAATAATTGGTTCTTCACTAAAAAGTTTTTCTTTGCCTTTAGGCTCATATTTGCTTTTAACAGTGTGCTTGCCTGCATGGGGTCTTCCTTCTTGGATTGTGACACACCTTGTGCCACCCCCCGAACCGGAACGATGGAAACATTTGGGGGTGGAGGACGTCATGTCAAGTATCACAACACATGCATTATAGTAATCAAAGTTCAACAACCATTCCATTAATAATGTATAACTTTTTACATAATTCATAAATTAGATATTCGACATCGAAAATAGATATAGTAAAAGACGAAAGATACAGCGTGACACTAGGTTGTCTTCTAAAAAGCTCTGGGAGTGCATCTGTCTACTGGCTTCCTGAGAATACAAGTTATTTTGAAAGAGAGGATCATCATTTAAGATGGTGAGTTCATAACTATTACTTATGGCTGTTTTAGTTTTAAGAAAATGCTTGAGTACGCTCCAGAAAGTCCTATACTTTCTACATTACAACTGAAAAGTAGTTTTAATCCATCACACCGTTTTTCTTAATTGTTATTGTACTTATAACCTATTTTGACATAATTTTAACTCTCCATAAAACTATAAGAAGGATGTTTTCCGTTTTGTTTGTGAAAAGTAGCTTTAATTCACTAAAACCGTTCTATGTTGTTTGTGGAGATATGATTAATGTAGTAGTATTTCTTAAACATGTGCTACTGGTATAATAACAACCCTATAATTAAGTTTATTAATTAGGGTTAAAGTGTGATAAGGTTGTAAACCATACTGATTGACTAGTGTAAACACGACAACCTTCTGACGTCGAAATAATGTGACATTTGTCACCCCTTAGCCAGTCGGCTAGACTTTAGCTAACATTCAGGATGTGGAATTGTCGGTCCCGTATAGATCTATACACACAATGACCGCTCTCCCTCTAGGAGTCTCTGGTTACAAAATGCGACTTAACAAGTATATTGCTAAGTCGTGAAGTAGTATCTCACATATTTAGTTTATCTGGTTTAAGTGAATATTGATTTATATTCTTTTCTTAACAAAGTAGTTTAAAGCTAATATACTTATCTAGTAAAATAGATTTCTATTTTGTTTCCTAAATTATACCTATTATAATTTATATGCTGTATGTGATTAGTGAGACCTCTCATAACTGTAACCCTTTGCTCAACGTGATACAAAGGTAATGATACACTTGAAGTAACTTTTTTTATTCCTATATGTATAATATATATAATTAAGAAGGAAACAACCTTCAGACAACTAACTCCTCCTTAAGCCGACATCCAAACAAGCAAAAGGAAATAAGGCAATTCATTAGTCCTAAGCCCTTTAAGTCTTTCATTATATACTTATACATATATTAACATGATTTTTGAAAAATATAAGTTTAAAGAGTTTATAAGACAATTAAAAGAGTTTAACAGTATTTAAAACTGAGTTAAGCATGCAATTTAAAGATTAGGGTTTAATATGAATGTACATATTTAACAAGTATAAGTATGTTTTGGTCGACTGTCGGACAAGTGATCCTACCCTAAGTCCACAACTAAACAAGTAACAGGAGTCAAGGTATCTAACATCAGTCCTAGGTCCGTTAAAACATACTTATACATAAATATATAAATAAAAATGATTTTGATAATAAACAACAACCTAAAATGTTTTTAAAGAGTTTTTGAATCCATTTTTAATAGCTTATAAAAGCATAAGAATTCGTTTTGTATGATTGTTATCACAGATAAACATTAACACAATTTAATTGTGTTAAACTTCTATCCCCCCCCCCCCCCTTAAAAGCATTAAAAATGTTTAAAAGGTAGATTACAGGGGTATGAACTCACCTAATGTTGGAGATTTGATTGAAGATATGATATGGGATGATTGGTATGCCAAGTGAAGTCTCGTGCACAAATAGTTCCTATTTAGCATATTTTAACATATATAGGCCTACAATTAGTGTATGCAACTAATATCATCCAAAGTAAGAAACCATAGGAAGTAGGAAACACTTACAATGAAGTGTTAGAATCGATAATTTGGGGTTGAAACTTGATCACGACCAAATAATGACAGTTCACGACTTTAGTGTGGTTTACGGCCGAAGAACACTTGAAGTGTTCACGGCCCTAGCTTGAATCTATGAAGGGTTCACACCGAATAATGAAGGGTTCACAGCCTTAGTGTGGTTCACGGATCAAGAAAACTTGAATTGTTCACGACCCTAGCTTGAATCTATGAAGGGTTCACAATTAATGATGAAGGGTTCACAGTGAGAACCTTTGAAGATCTTGAATATGATGATGAAAAGTGATGAATCAATGATAGCATCAAAGGGATTTCCAAGTATGAACAAGTAAAGGGATAAGGTACTAACATTTTTAGGGTGCAAGAAGACTCTTTTGTAGAAGATACATTAGAGCAAACTTGGTTGATCACGGATAGAGGATGAGAAATGAAGAGAAAACGAGTCAAAACTCATATATATGGCATGAGCTTTAGACCGTAGGATGGGTTCACGATAGTGAACCTAGTTTGCAGTCGTGAACCAATTTTCAAGGTGTTCCTGGCTCGATTGCAACTCACTAATCTCAAGCTAACACTTTCTAACACTCGACCCTTGAGTGTACTAGGCTTAGAAACTCTTAAATACACCCTTAACACAACAAAAAGGTAAAAGAAACAAGTTTGACTTTTGACTGATTAGATTGATTTATAAGATAGAGATTCCAGGTTGTCACATCATCCCCCTATTAGAGGGAATTTTGTCCTAAAATTAAGTCTAAAGGATACAATTTGACGAAGGGAAAATATGTGGATTCTTATGTATCTAATGAATCTCATGAGGGTCTAGTTATGCACCATAAAAGGACTCTCACTATCGGTACATGGATCTGATTAGTCCTCACAACTTCATTGTCTAGGATTCCTACGAATTCTTCCACAAAGTTGAGGTTTTTGTTTACCTCGATCTAATTGAGTATGATAACAAGAGTCTCGTCGGACAACCGGTTTTAAAGATAAAGATGTGGAAAGTAGGGTGTATGTTATTGAATTCTCAAGGTAGTCGGGGTCTATATGCTAGTGGATCAAAGCTTGTAAGAATCTCGAATGGTCTTATGTACCTTGGATTTAGTATTCCTCGCTTTCCGAAGCATATCATGCCCTTCCGGGGTGAGAACTTCACAGGGTGTGGTCAACAACCAGGAAGTCCAATGATTTTCTCTTATTGCTGGAGTAGCTTCTCTGAGTGACTTTGGAAGCTTTACGTTGCTTCTTGATTTGTACTCTCTTCTCGGTAGTTTCTCAGATGAATTCCGGACTAGCGAAGACGCCATCCAGAAATTGGACCTATAGTTAGTTCCATGTCACCTACTTTAGTTCGATACATTGAGGATCTACAATAGCAACCATAAAAGGTTTCAAATGGAGAAACTTTAAATGCTAGTACGGTAAAGGACTTAACTTGTTGGTAAATAGGTATCCCATGCTTTGCCAAATTCGATCACATATGCTCTTAGCATGTCTTCTAGTACTTGAATATTTCTCTTATTTCGTATCTTGGTTTGTGTACGGTAGGCTATGCTGACAATCAACCTAGTTCCTAGAGATTTCTGAAGTGACTGACTGAAATGGGAGCTGATTCTACTATCTCGAACGGAGATAACAGATATTAGGACACCGTGTAGTCTAACAAATCTCTCAGACCCACATTCTAGTTAGATTCTCTATTTTTCCTGTTTCTTTCAATTTGCATGAAGTGTACGGACTTTGTTAATCTGTTGATGATCACTCAAAACAGTATCATGTCCTCCTGTAGCCTTGGATAGCTTGATTATGAAGCCTATTGCAATCCACTACCACTACCACTCAAAACAGTATCAGGTCCTCTGAAGTTCATGATAAGTCTCCTACTTGGATCATCCGCCATCACCTTGTGTATAGAAGTCGTATATAATTTAGATTGACAAAACGTTCGAATGGGTGGCTCTGCCCAAGTCCACAAACTGACAAAGAACATGAGACAAGGCATAATCACACATCCTAAGTCTTGTTGAGTCTAAATTATATACCACTCTTGCATATACACTTAACAACGATAGATTTACCTTATGAGTTCTTAGTCTCTATTCTCGAACTTGACTTAAGGTACAAGCGGTCTTCCAATGATATCTATTGGGGATACTTCGGGTGGTTACTAACTTCTGAGACTTCATTGGTTCTTTTCGCTTCGAGTTTCCTATGTACTAAGTAGGCTACAAGGGTGTGGTATCATAGCATCGGTATATCTAGAGTTCTGAAGTGAAAGACTATATAAGAGTTCATATTAGATTTGCCATTATGGATTGAAAGTATTTCCTTTGACGGTTGATTAAGGGAAAGTTCTTTTACACCGCATATGGATTTTTCATGGTACGGACCAATCCAAACCATGTTGGAAGGAAAGATTATCAGGACGATCTGCTAACTTATGCACATATGCTTTTAATGCCTTCAGCATTGTCCTTGATATTATTACCGCGAATATTTTTCTCCAAATTTAACAAGTACTAGCAATACGAGGGTTCTGATAATTTGAAACAATGAACTTTCATGAAATGATCCCTACTAGGTCTAATTATAACCTCTTGGTGTATACAAGTCATGTATAATTATGATTGGAAAGACCGTTGAATGAGTAACCCTACCGTGAGTCCACAACCAAACAAGGAACAAGAAATGAGGCGGGATCACCCACTCTAAGGCTAAAAATCTTAATTATAAATGACCCTAGTGTATACACTATGCCATCATAGCTTATCTATTAGGTTTGTCCATCTTATACGAGTGTTGTGATTTGGCTTGAACGAGCGAATAATAATTAATTTAATTAATTATTGTGGTGTGGAAGCGTACCGGAATTATAGCAAGGTTCTTTTATGCTTGCACATGTTCCGGGGTTAAACTCCTCCCGCTACCCCGTCATTCGTCCCTGTTGGACAGTCCCTCTTGAAATGTCCTATTTCACCACAAAGATAACATATTGGACTGGTTCCAACATTGGTAGTTGAAGTGATGAACTCGACCGGAGTCCTACAGATGTGGGTGGTATGTCCCTTTATTTTGCATCTATTTCAATGCAGTACTCTGCAGACTCCATGATGATGGTAGTTGCACTTGCTACAGTG